GGGCAGGTTGACGCGGCTCCCCTCGCCCCAGAGCCCTTCTCTGGCCGAGTGCATCCCACGAACTATTGCCAAACCCGCGGGGCTGCTCGCCAGGTCTCCGACGGCCCTGGCCTTTCGCCGGGGCTCAGGCTGGCCCCCCCAACCTGGGCACAGTCCTCAGCCTGCCACGGAAAGCGGGAAACGCAGCAACCCCAAGCACCATCTGTGCCTTCGCTGCCTTCCCTCCGAGGCATTTAACTGCTCTGCAAACAGCACGTCCACACGCATTTGGACTCGTTTCTTTCTGGTATACACTTTGAGATTTCTTTCACTCCAAGCTTGAAGTTTGGGAACATTTTCTCGTACGAATTTTCTTCTGTTATTTCACAGTGGGAGCATGAATATTAGGAACTACCACACAATATTCCGTGCACCATTTGCAGAGCACATGGATAATTGTTGCCTCTCTGCTCCAGCTCCACTGCAGGGCTCGGAGCAAACACGCAACATCTCTATTTAAGCTCCCCAAGCAAAGCAGGAATCCCTTCCTTCCCAATGCTTTCGGTATGTTTTTAGTCCTTTCATGACCCAGCAATGAATTCATTAAATTAGTATTACCCAACATGCATAATCTGGAGGAACTGGATACTGAATTAAAACATCAAATACCTTTAGCTTTAGTGAAAACTACATAAAAGCATTTCAGGCATCACTTTGGCTATCACTTACAGCCAGTGTGAATACTGCTAGAAAAGCTATTTTCGTGCAGATGTGGAATTCAATGGGAAAGACTGACTCGTGTAGCAACATCAATCAAAACGTCGTCTCTGCTGGCAGCTCTCGACAGTAAGGCAGGTTCAAAGGTCACAGGATAAAGAAAAAGCCAAGCTCTGGTTCAGCTCTAATATCTCCTTGCTAGAAGTCTCGCAAAGGTACCTACCCCCCTTCTGTACTAGGCGGCTTTCATTAATCTTCTTGCCATCTTTTTTAACTAGTCATGCAGAACCGCTCGATAGCGAGACATATAATGGGGAGGCCCTGTGCCTATTACCAGGTTAACACTCTGTTAAGCCCCAGTGCAACAATGGAATAAGAATTTAAAGGAAATCTTAAGCTGCAGGGTGCAAAGCAGGCAATTAAATTACAAACCAAAGTTACCAATGTACTCTATGACCTACAGAACACGTTTGTTTAGACTACCTTAATATTAAGGATATTTTGACCTAGCAACTGAGATGTATCTGCTTTATTAAAACAAAAAAATGGCAGAAAAAGGATCACAGAGAACATTTCTTCACTGTTTCAAGTAAATTATCAAATAAATCAGATTTCTGCAGCTATCGTAAAATACACATGAATGGAAGAACCACACGTATTTTGAAAACTCTAAGTCTGCCCAACTGATTAACCTCAGTGCCACTAAAAGGCCTGCCCTGAGGTCTGCTCACCCCGCCATGCATCAGCGCCAGCTCCGCGCTCCCATGGTGCGGATGCCGAGGCATCCTGGTAGCCCCGGTCCTGGGAAGGGACGGCCACGAGCCATCCATCACAGCCGCACTTGGTCCACAGTGCACTTTGTAAAAAGGCAGTGGTCAGTGACACTGAAGTTTCTCCCTTGTCCAAGTAATGTAAGAGACATTAACAGAATCAGATTTCCTTTAAATTACACTATTGCAAAGGGATATAATTGTATTAAACGTATTATGTTGCTTCCTTAAGACTTTATATTATGTACACTTAATTGAGATACAAAGCTCTTTTCAGCTATAAAAATGACAACTACTTTATTAGGGCTTAAATCTTATTTCTCAATGATAGGATGCTTCCTTTCAAGATTCAAAACATTCAGAATCTCTCGTGATAATCAGACCGAACCTGATTTAAACAAGCCGTTTATACACAGTGTCTTTGGGTTCTAATGGCATTTGATCGAGCCAGCAGGGCCATTACCGCTTCCCTCTGTCTAAATTCAGGGAGTCTGATTTAATTTACAAATAAAAATTCAAATGCTGACCCAGGCCTACTACAAGGGCAAACAAAAATCATCAGCCATTCCTGCCTACAATACCCACACTAATGGCAAATTAGATGCCAAAGTTTTCTATTTTCATTTTCTGTTTCCACTGGATGCAGCTCTAAGTTCTGCGAACTCGCAGCACAGGAAAGCTTCAGCCCCCTCCAGAACGACTTCGAGTCCATCTGTAAATATTCACAACATGCCATCTCTGAAGTCATTGAGTCCTTTAACACTCACACAAGTGCCACTAAAGCTTTGCTCCATGAACCTGTCTTTTCAGAGAAAACTAACAGAAAATAAGCACAAGGCTCTCTACTATATTGATACACAATTTCTGTTTTGACATTTCTGCAGGAAAGTACCAGTAAAAACTCTGAAATCTCTTTAATCTGGAGAAAATAAGAATTAACTGAATATTAAATTGTGTTAACTACCAGGTTCAAAGGAACAATTGTTGCAGAAACCTCCAGCTATACTGATCACAGTGACCAAACTCCAGTCCCAACACCCCTTGCCCTTACTAAAAAGTAAGGTCACATTTGGATGCTCCTGCAAGCCCTTCACCTCTCTTCAGAATTACAAGAAGTCAGTCCAGCAAAGCAGCACTCAACTTTCTTATAACCCCAACTGCCAATGTCTAGGGAAGGCAGGCAGCTTGATAAAACATACACTGCGTTTTCACCCGGTGTAACTGTACAAGCACTGTTACATGTGCAGAACACTTCTGAAAGACGAGATGGAGCATGTTTGTATTACAAGAGATAAAAACATGAAAACAAAATATATTGCAGAACTCAAAGACCTTATCTTTACTCAGCCTCTCTTTCTTTGCAATAATTCATTCAAGGAAGATCTGGGAATAATTTTTGATGTAAACTCTGCTACAAACATATATCACTATGCTGATAAAAATCACAGACAAAACTTGTGAAATACAGTGAGTTTCATTCCTTTATGCTACTAAAATAACTTTTTTCCATTTAAAATTCAAGAGATACTGATCTGCTGTTAAGAGTTCCCCAAAATGTATCATTCTGAGATGTCACACTAAAAGTCTCTTCTACTGGCCTAAAATAATGACTTTTGGAACACCTTTAGTGAATCGGGAAGAGGCCAGCAGATTTCAGGAGGAATTATTTTCTCCTTTTGGAACTATGACAAACACTTATTTAATATGAAAAATTTACGATGGCCACGCAAAAAAAATGAGTAAATAAAAAAACCTCAGTATCATAAAGGTTGCCTCTGTTGTAACCTGTCAGCATCCTCTCCAAAGTGACCGCGATTCTTCATTCAACGGTCTCCATGTGAAGGTATTGCCCTTCCGCCGCTGGACTCTATTCGGGGGCTGAAATTCTTCTTCCTGGGTTGGCAAGATTTGGGTACAAACATCATTTCCTACAGCAGCAGGTGCGGTCTCTGGGGCTGAAGAGCCCCGTCCCCTGCAGGACACAGTTCTGGAGGTGTTTTGGGGGCAGCTTGAAGGTCTCAGACTACCGTGTTGAGAGCAGTGTGAGCTGGAAACCTTCGGTTTCAAGGCTGGCTTTTCAGATACAGCCCCATTTTGTGAGCACAATTTTACCACCACAAGTGTTTGCCTTTGAAATGAAATGTGGCTACAAACCCAGAGGTGTTAATATATTTACAAGTGCAAAACTGCACCTTGAACTATAAAGACAACCGTTACATGTTTTGGACTGCCTGGTCATTAGGGAAGTCTCTCCTTGTGATCCTGCCTTCCCAAGGATCATGAAATCTTGCTGGAGAGACAGAAAAGGAAGACAATGACTGGATTAAGAACATGGAAGTAGGAAGGGGTAATGAAGGGGAGAAGGATATAGTTCAATAATTGCTGATAAAATCTGTGGCAGCCATAAATTTACTCTTCCAAGAGAATTCAACAGATCATTACCTCTGTAAATATGTATCACATAATTCTCTCTCTCTGTCACCTTGCAGATAAGTACTTAATACTTAGCATCCCTACCCTGCAAAAGCACAGGTGTAATAAAATCCATCTGAGTTTTTGAACCGCAGTTACTTTTTGATAGTAGACAGTTACATTTTGGCACCACCGGGAGACATTGCCCAATTCCCCCAGGGCCTATCTTGTGCTTTTCAAGACAAATTTTACAGATATAGACTCTCATTACTCCGCTAATACAACAAGCAAAAGCACTTGGCTTTTGAAGTCGCACACTAAACATAGCAAACTCTGACCTCTCACTGACAGCTGGCTGAACTGGGAAGTCCAACCCGTTCTCCAGCTAGCTTAGCTATCGCTGCCGGCCAGGCCCCATCACTGCTTTCCTGAAACTGAGCTCTCGGAGCGGCACGTCGTAATCCTGGTGACCCTGCAGCTGCAGTTGCAGCAAATTTCAACTGTGCTGATACTTACTGTATGTCTGAGATCCTCAACTGCATCTCAGAAATTGTTTAAAACCAGTCTGGATATTAAGAAGTCAAAAAAAAAAGAGGCAATTATGTTGAAACATATATTTGACTACTGTGCTATGGGGCTAGAGACCAGCTAGGCAAAGCCAGTGTTTCCTTGGGATGACACTGTTAGCAGCTACTGATAGTGGGCAAGGAACACTCTTAATGGTGCCATTAGCTGGAAGCAGCATTAAAAGGACACTCATAAAATATCTATCTGTTTATGTTGTGCTCCCTATAACAGAACTGAGTCGGATTAAAAACATCCTATAATGAATAAAATACACCTATAGAAAGAAAAGGACATGGTAGCAATAATTCTTCGGACATCTAGCACATACAGGGAGGGAGAGAAGAGAGAACATAAATAAAAAGGACTACTCACTTGGGCTTTTTTCTTCCGCAAGGTCACAGGCACAGAGGAGTTCAGAATCGATTGAAATGGGTTTCTGCTTAATCCAAAACTTAGTGCTGGCCTTCTGATTAGTAACGGGGTCTATCTCTACCTTGTCTCCAGAAATACCTGAGATGAGAAAGAATAGAGAGCCACAATAGCGATCTGTTTAAGTGATTTCATATCAGCCGTTTGACACACTTTATAAATCTTAAATGGGATGAAAGTATATTGCCTGTTCGGGCTTTTTGAAAGCACAGGAGCTTTTGAAACCAAAAGCAAATGGTTATCAAACTGCATTGATAATCTGCATTTTATTCTCCTGCATAAGCACACCAACAAGAAAGAAATATCACAGGAAAAATTCTTCTCAACACAAACAGAGCTCTTCTGGAAGCAGTAGCTACATGAGCTGCAAGATTTATAAAAAGATACTGCTGGTTTTTCAGTTACCACTATTACAGGTAATAGACACTATCACACACCGTCCCTGTTCTATCTCCTGTGCAGCACACACACTATGTCCTCTATATGAGAGGACAACACCCATTCGCAGCGTTACAGAAATGCTCTTTGTGTTACCCAGATACTCATAAACAAAGACATCCAGTCCCAGAGATCCTGTGCGTTTTTACACTGCTGGCATTTTAAAGCCAGCTCTAATTAGGCTGCTTTGAAAGCAAGCTGAGGATTTGTGTAGCTCCTGGCACGGGCGCTGGGCCCTGCTTCCCAACACGGGCTTCCCCAGATGGCTGGCGCTTCGCTCCCGCCGCGTGCCGGCTGACCTGGCTACGGCACGCTGCCACACGCGCAGCCTACTGCGGACCTTTTGTGAGCGAGAGTAGAAAACGCCTCTGTCGTCCCTCCGCACGTCACTTCCAAAGTCGTGCAAGAACAGCCTTTCCAGTGGGATGCTGCCGGGGCAGGCCGAGGGCTAACGGCGTGCTGGAACCGGCCCGGGACGCTCGCTGTCCTTTATAGCGGTCTTTATTGCAGTATTGCGAGGCAAAAGCCCCGCCACACCGCACTGAGGAACAGAAGCTCATTGTTCAGTAGCTGTTGACGCCATTGAACAAACTTCCCAGTGTGCTTTTCACATCAACATGTGTGGAGCCTTAAAAATAATTACATTTCTTCAGTCATGAGTTATAGGTGAAGCTCATGAGAAAGCGACAAAAGGAAGCAATACAGGAGAAAGGTATTTAAACATCGTTTAACTCTTGCATCTCTGGAAAAACAGCAGAGATAACCTTTTCCCTCTTGAGGGTTTTGGCTAGGATGCTTTGAAATACATTGTGTTTGGCTCATCCGAAGCACAAGAAAACCTAAAGGAGCTGATGACAGAACTTTTAAGAGATGTGACAAAATAAAAGTAAGATGCCACATGTGTAACGATTCTCCCAAGCCCTCCAAAATTAACTCAGTATTTCTTAAAGTCTGGTCATAGCTTCAGAATTTGCAAACCACGTTTGTTTGTATTTTATGCAACTCTAAAATCAAAGCATACAGACAGGAGGGAGCAGACACCTACAGCGGACTTCTTGCTGCAGCCCCTTCCACCAGTGCAAGGTTACCTTCATTTTAACCCCGGCCATTATGATCAGTTATAATAACCCACCAACCCCGCCCCCCCCCTCTATTAATCCAAGAATGCGTTTTGTCATTAAACATACGTCACATCAGAGAGATCGCATTTCAATTAAGCATTGTATCAAGAGTCCAATTAACACAAGGACTGCTAGAACTAGGTAATTTGAGCAGGCTGATGCTGTATCTGGAGCCCGTTTTGTTTTGTAATTTAATTTGGGACAGATTATTTAAAATCGGCGTTATAATTTCACTGCAATGGTTAATTATTCAAAATGGCATTTTCTGTAGTTTAAGGAAAATATGTGAAGTTGACAACAGAAGTTCTTGTTTTCTCACTGAAAAAAGTCAAGGCAAGTTCTAAAAATAAAGGTGCAAGTTCTAAAAATAAAGGCACAAATTCTTTGTGCGTGAGGGTTGTTCCCCATCCCTTCCTCTAAAAGCGTCACCCCTGAAAATATCCCTAAAAAAATTTCACTGTATGGCCCTGCAACTTCAGAATTCACAGTCAGTCAATATTGTTAATGCACCTTGTTAATTTGATAGGATTTGTCAGGTAACTCCACTGGAAAATTATATAAAACTGTTCCAGATGAACAGATGATAGTGACATGAATTAAAGTGATAGAACAATAGTGGAATATAAACCAGAAATGACACCCAAAGTGGCTGTTGATTTATTGCCATCCTGAGTTTGGTTCTGGGCTTCCATGTATATTAGTGCTACAAATCTGGGTCCATTTAGCAGAGAGATGCTCATACATACATCACCAGCTCCTGCTCCAAGCCAAGGTCACTCCCCATTGCATCAATCTTTTCAGCAAAGGCTACTTCACCAAGCATGGATTTTGTAACCATCTCAGATGTAACAGACTTCCTCCTCTTTCATCTTTTTTTTATCATGTAAAATACACTTTAACTTCTATTATTTTTATCTGCAAATTGTTGCTGTATACTTCATCCATTATTTCTGTATCTCGACATCACTGGTTTAAGCTCATGCACATCCAAAGAGCACATTGACAAAGAATGTAGTCTTTTTTGTGTTATTGTTCTCACAATCTGTAGGTGTTGAAATGTAAAATCAAAACAGTATTATGTATGTGGCTTCTGCAGTCTCTGCATCGCAGCACAAATTACTCATACTCAACACTGAAGTAAAAATGCCTCTTCTAGTATTTTTTTAATTCATTCATTTTAGCAAAAGAAATGTCATGGAAGTATTAGTCCAGTAACACGGTTCTGCTCTTCCTTCCTTTGTTGGGGTCTGCAACTGCCCCTCCTTTTCTGAAATACTTGCCAGCAGTAATTTTCCAAGACAATATGCTTCTTTTAGTTTTGTTGCTGCGATACACAAGCACGTGCCTTATCCCTTCACAACACATAGAACCTTTGTAACAATGCTGAGAGTACTACTGAATGTGCATGACACTGTAACATGAGCTAAAACATAAAACCCCAGACCTTAACTGCTACGGCTAAAGCCTTCCACTGTAATAAAACCATCAGTCACGCGGTGGTCATTCCTCCTATGTATCGCTTTTTCCTATAGAAGAACTATGCACAATGTGCAGAAAATAGAGCTTAGCCCAATATTTTTGGCAAACCTTGCCTCAAATTCAATCATCAGGCCTCAAAACAGCTAAAACGTTTCAAAAAGTACCAGTAGGCAAACAGTAATTCACAAACATAGCTCATGCTATCGCTATCTGTTCTACGCAACTGAAATAAAATCCAGTACAGAACCTACTCAAATTCAGTGACATGCCAACTGCAGGGAGTGGAGATGAGCTGTGCTGGGTGTTTTCTCCACCACTTCTAGGTTCTGTCACACGTAAACATCCTTCCGCGTGAAGCCTGGGAAACTGGGACTCGCCCCCAAAACCACACGGATGTTTCAGTGCAACTGCCGTGCCGTATTTCAGCTAGCCCGACAGCCGGTGCGCTCCTGCACAGCTACCAGCACCATTGATACTGCCAATAAGGAGCAAAGGAATGATTTTGGATTCTCAGTGTCCTCTAGAAAAACTGTTGCTTTGCTATGGCTGCTACATAAAACTGGTGACATAAAAATGCTACAGAGAAAAGTCTTTGCAACTGGCCATCATTAAACCGACACAGAACAGCTCCCAAACCACAGTTACTGACAAGTGATGAAAAAAAATTGGATAATGTTTTTTACATTTCAGATTATACGAAGCACTCTGGCACTTGCACAAGATGAACACATTAACACGCAGCAGCCCTAATCCAAATAGAACCCCAATGCTTATTTCACCAGCATTGCTTTTTTAATATCTTTAAAAAATTCAGAAGAAACCCCAGCAACATACACTTATTTGGGCTTTATTTAAAGGTTTTGATTCTGTACATTTGCTCAAACTTTGAATACCTCACCGGGGTTCTCTTTGATTTTTTAAAAAATAATTAGATTATAAAAATCACATTGTCAGTGTATTGCCATCAAAAATATACAAGTTCACAGATTGTTATAAAAGGGAAATTTTATGGTCCTTAGACTACTGGACAGGGTCAGCCTCTTCACTGCTGCACAAGTTAAGCCATTTGTTTCATTTAACAGCTATTCTCCCTTAACCATTTATCTTTAGTGATCTGTCATGACCTTTTCAAGCTCTCATTTCTGACACTTCCCAGATACAGTGAGTCAAACTTCACTGGAAGGAAACTATCACACCCAGATAGTTTGCTCAAAAGCAGAAAACATGCCCAGTGCTGTCCTGCTTCAGCACCAGCATATAAATCCTTCCTTAACAAGACAGTTCAAAATAAACTGAGAAAGCCTCTTCTGTAAAAATTTTAAAGACATATACTTTTACATGTGCTTAAGGATGGAAGAACGAAGAGACTGTAGGGACAATAATACAGGAACTCGTACAGTTTAAATTTAACAATTCTACTGAATTCTACAGAATAAATGTATTTTGCAAACATTAAGGCATTTAATATTTTACTGCTGAATCATTTCTTTATGGAAGGTATTTGCAGGAATGTCACAGGTCACCTACCAATGCATCATTAATCAAATTTTCACAATTTAAACACAAAGATAAAAAGCCATTCAATCATTTGAAAACAGTAATGGGGCTTTTATAATTCAAGATTCTGTCATCCCTTGGCCTTCGGGTTTTCAAAAGCATTCAGAAAGCTAGTAAGGACAATATAAAACCTTTAGAGAATGCTAGTTTTATTTTGTTCCACCTCAAATTTCCACTTGGTCATTAAAATCTTTCAGTCTCAGAAAAGGAAAAACCTAATCATTCCTAATTTTGCGTAGCCTCATTTAAAAATAACAAAACAGTTGGCAAGAAGCTTTCCATCAGGAAGCCGAGATTAAAAAAAAAAAGAGATGAGGTCATTAAATAATGGCCTTCTTTCAGAAGAAACATGTGCTAGCTGATTGTGTATAATAAAAATACTGAAGTATTTTCAACTGAAAACAATTTTTTTTCAGCTGCTGAAATGCTAGCCACACTTTCAAGTGATGTGCTCCACGATAAAATGCACCAACATGATAATGACTGCTTTAAAAACATCTGAGGTGGACAGTCAGCTATTAGAGACGAGCAAAGGTTTGAACCGTTCCATTTTCCTAAGCGTTATAGTATGGATTGATTTACCTAACTGAACATCAGTGGTGAATCGAAGCCTATGGATCATGCTGACTTTGAAGGACTTGTAATGGTGGCTACTGAGCATGTCCTGAACTGTAGCTATATCGATCTGAGGGTCCTCCTCCGAGACCTCTTCTCCTCTTGAACCTGCAAAATAAGCCAACAATAATGAATGAGAGGTTTAAAATACGGTCTACGATTCAGCTGGTATGTAAGTACGGCTGTGACGTCTGCCGCTGCAGATGGCTTTTTAAGAAAGAACAAAATGCTCAAGTCCATGTCTCTGGGAGGAGGAAATTCTCACCCTCCATCCAAAGACAAAATCACTAATTCATTAACGACATTACGATACGCATTTGCGTCCCACACGAAGAGCAGTGCAACATCCCCACAGCGGATTCTCAGGTGGCACGAGACATCCCTGGACCACAGACATCCCCGGGGGCTGACCCGCTGGGATCCCTGTCAGGACGCCCACAGCCTTGCACCCCGGGGAGGAGCCTGGAGAAGGGGGACCCATCCCCAACCAGAGCAGCATTTTCAGGTGCCGCCCTCGACGGACGCACTAGCACAGTTCTCCGTGTTTCAGCATCCCCCCACGTGGGATATGACGCTGGCATCTTGCTGCAGCGCTGGTAGCACCTCGGGCACTCTGATCTCAGCCCTGCGGTAACGAAGCGGCGCTTTATTTACTGATTAGTATTCTCATTACTACTGCAGGTACTGGCTTTATAAAAGGTAACATCTCATTAAGCCAAAATGCCAATTACTGAAAAAATATAACACACTTTGAAGATTTTTTACATTTTATGACGTTGGATTAACACCAATTTAAACATTACTATAATGTGATATATAATTTTGTGCAGAGTAATTTCTATGCCAGCTGCTAATAAAGCATCTCAGCTCTAAATGATCATTCAGATGCTGTTAGATAAAGTGGTATAAATATGTTTGAAAACTGATTTAGCTTCTTATAGAAGATACTGAAGAATGACACGTTTTGTTTAATATTCCAGCTAATGTAGTCCTAAAAGCTGAATCAACTGCCAGTTCAGAGTACTAAATTTGCTGCAGGAGATTAATGAAAACTTTATATTTTGCCGAAATCTTAATAATGGGAAGATGAGATGATGGAATTTTAGTACAGATCTTAAAGATCCAGCAAAGCAGTCTAAGAACTTGTCAGATTTTTTTGTATTAATTTTGTTCAAGACTCACACAGTTGGAGCAGCTTCAACACTAACACTTCCCGCACTGACCCTTCCCTGGAGGAGGTACATTCCCAAAACATTCGGGGACCTCAGGTCGCAGGGAAGCTATGGCGAGTTTCCACGTTTGGGCCTCAATGACAAGGGGACAGTTTGCCAGGAAAGGCCACAGCTCCCAGGGGAGGAAAACCCTGGCACTTGTCTCAGACACATACCGTGGATGCAGAAGCAGGCTCCCTTCTAAATAGGTAATTCAGAGTTGCAGAAGTACATGCCGTTCGTTTCAGCACGGGAAACTGTTGGGGTGGTGGCCATAGGCAGGACAAATGCAGGCGAGAGAGAAGAAAAACCCCACCTGGGCACGGAGCATTTTTCCTGCTGGCTGAAAGCGTTCCCTTTTCTATCTGTTAATTCAGTAACAAATGTCACTGCTTATGAAAAATATCTTTCATGTCTGTATCAAAGTAAGGTTAGCATTTGCTGTTAAATGAGTCAAAATACATATTGAGAGAATAAAGCAGGAGATTCATGTTTCATAGACGTCAGTCACGTAAGCTTTCCACCCTGCCCAGAGGACAGCAGGCGAGAGGGATGCCCACTCCTCACCGCTTGTACCGCAGCCTCCTGACACGCAACTGGGGACCTTCCTTTGGGGAAGGGGGACAGCAAAGGGTTAAGCTACAGATCGGGCTCTGCCATTCGACTTGAAAGAATTCCAAAAATCAAATGCAACAGTCTACATGTGAATTTATGCAGAGCCATCTTAACATTGCAACCACTCTATGCTCCAGAATGACAAGATAAATTGTAATGGCTCCTTCAGAGACATTACAATGTATTTTGTCAAAGACCCCTGTGTTAATGTCTCTATACTATGGATTATCATAATGTATCATGTCAAACCCTCATGCTGCAGTACTTCAAAGATACACTGAGATATGTCAAACTTTTTGGTGCACTTAAAAGCATCTCGAAACACTGTGGCATGGCAGTGCCTGAAAGCAAATCAGGAAGATGGCAATGGCACTGCTGCCCTGCAGTCCAGCGCGAATGGGGGCCCTCTTCCACCGATGGAAACCAGTGAAACGCCCGTTCAGCCCCGGCAGAGGCTCCCAGTCACGCGGCCAGCCCTGGCCCCACAGCATGTGGTCACAACGGCACGCCGTGCTGGGATATAGGCCATGGCACGGCGGGACCCTGCAGGGGAGTCGGGCGCTGGGGACAGAGGGGGACACGTTGCGGCAGGGAAGGACCCCCAGAGACAGCAACACGGCGTGAACCCAAGCAGTGCGGAGGGGTCACTGCTGGCGAGGGGGGAGAGGAACCGTGAGCCCCGCGCACCCCGCTCTGCAGGGAGGCCGTTAGTGCCGTCCCTAACGAAGCCCTGCTCTAGGGTTTCCGACGCCTTGCCAGAGGGTGATGAGACTCACCTCGTCAGCACTCCATCGCAGGGTTTTACGTACACTGTTACAGGTAAAGAATCGCTAGCACCAACAGACAAACTGAATTGGTAGTGATAGGAAATTCAGAAATAACACAAAGAACAGCACCGTACTAACCTCGCTCCTGCAACCCCTGTGAAATGTTCTTAACACGCTCCGTAAGATGAAGACCCACAGGATGCTCTGCGGGTACCGCTGCCTTTCTGTTCCCAGCCTCCCTGCCTGGCCCCAAACCATCCCAGCCTCACCATCCACACTGAATTACCGGCAAAGCGGGGACACTACATGTCGACTTTACACGGCTATTACGAAGCTGAGTCTTCCCCGATTGCACACACCCAAATTAAAAGTATTAGAAAGAAAATTAGCAGCCTGCCAGATCATATCCAGGGGAAAAAACTGTCAGTGTAACTAAAATCGTGAACACCTTGTCAGTGTCTAAGCTGCAGGAGCATTAACTGCCACAGCCGGAGCAGCCGAACGCTGGGATTTTGCTCTGGAAGCCTTTCAGATCCTTCGCGTACCCATAACCTCTGCCGACTTTGTTTTATGAAGCTTTGTGAATGGATTCAGGTTTACAGAATTTCTACAGTTGCTGCTCTTGGGAGAGCAGCCAGGAACTCCACCATCAAAACAGATCATCTGTCTAAAGATGGCAAGGCACGCGGACCCCTGAGGGTGCACTGGATAATAGCAGTAATATCAGTAACAACAGAGAGAAATGCCCTGCAGGGAAAAACCTGACCGGAGAACTTGGCATATTGCTCTTACCCCGCAGCTCTGCGAGGATGTCTGCGAGACTGCCGGCGTCCGGCTGCGGAGGGAAGAGCCATCTTCACCAGCCAAATGCGGGGAAAATCATAAAAATATTTTCCACATGCAAGCAGCTGTGAATAAACCTGTCAAATATTTACAGGCCTGTCAGGGTATTTGTAATGGAGATCACAGTGTGGCTTTTGAATGTAAAAGCTTCTGCTTGGGAAGACAATCAAGTAAAGTGGATGCTCCAGGTCTATTATTTAGCCCAACAGCCGACCCAGCGACAGGGCTCTGCTGGCCGAGAGCCTGCTCGTCCTGGGAGGAACAGATTCCCATTCCAGAAAAAACTCCTTCACGTAACAGCATGGAGACTCAGTGTGCAATGACCTCTGTATTTTTTCCTTATAGTTTATCTAATTCAGAGCTACTTTGTGAAAGGAAAAGTGAAAAAAAAAAAGCTGGAGTCAGGTGTGGGACAAACAAGGCACAAGACAAGAACCCGCATGAACACAGTTGAAAATCTTTACTCACTCTGTTGTTTTTTTTGGTTTTGTTCCCGTTTTTTAAACCAGGTTCAGCATAGAGATAGTATTTTTGTTCAAGTACTTGAACTATTGTGAAATACAGAGTTGTATTTGTAACTCAGTCCAATCTCATCATAGAAAATCCTGTTTTTTCAAATAAGACAAACAGTAATGAAACAACAGGCACCAGAAACACGAGTCTGAAAATAAGTTAGAAGCTAAAACAAGCAGCCTTATCCAAAAGGGATTGTTGTAAGCACTAGAGGATATATAAAAATGACACATCAGTAATATCAGCACATTGAAATGCTGTATGTAGCCTAGTCAAGAGCAAGTGAACCTGTATTTCCTCAATAAAACAACAAAATATAAAGTTAACTGCATTGCAAAAATGTCCCTTATTACTTTAATGTACTAGTATATTGCTTAATGAAAGTTCTTAATTGTAATACAATTAATTACATACACAGAGTCCCCAATTATATTTTCCAATAAGACACTGGCTTTGGTACAGGTCTAAAGGCACTAAACCAATTTTAATATATTAAGACCAATTTCCCTTGAATACTAATTACTATCTAATGATAAAATGAGGAAGAGGAACTTTCCAGAAGTAAGATGGTAAGAATAAAACTAAATTAGCCATGAACAGTTTGCTACTACACATAAAAGCATTTCACATTACAAAGTGCAGGCTTTTAGTTTAAAGATAAATCTTCGTGCGAGTTAAAAGTTCTGCATACTGGAAACAGTTTATTAGTTCGAATGCTATTAGTAAATGTTGGATAGATAGGGGATTTCTCCACACATATTTCTTAATAATGGAAAGTTTTGTGTTTCATTTAATACCCTGGAAATATAAACTTTCTATTTGCCCAAAGGAAACTGGCAGCTATTTTACTAGCAGATGTTTGGCATCATACATATATATATTTATAAATGAATATAAGACTATGAAGAGCACATTTACAAATAATAGCTGTTATAACAGAGTTTTTCCTGACTGGCATATCTAAGCTAAATGTATTTCAAATAAAAACAAAATGCATGAAATGAATATTTCATTTTGATGTTAGGATTTTCAAGCTATTATTTTATTAATAGTGCAAAACTGTCAATATTTCTGTTCTAATGCCATGTCAAAAGATAGCTCCTTAAGCACTACAAAATCCAATTTCTTCTTGTGTATTGGGGGAACCAGGCTATGTACAATGCATGAATTACGACTGATCTTATATACTGTATTGTCCTTGAACATCTATGTGTGTAGAGAGTTAACTGCAAGGGTGTTTCACATATATTCCCGAGCAGGGACAATGGAAGATCACTTTGAATTCACCCACATTTCGAGGGAGAAACTATAAGCAGAAGATTTCTCCTGCATTCCTTATTCGAGTTTGGTATCAATTCAGAAAACACTCAGTAGCAGCACAGCAGAAAAGAGACAGAATTCATGTAAGCATTTATTATTTTGCCTAGATTACTGCAGTCTTGAACAGACTAAAACAGTGACTTGCTCTTGAACTCTACAGAGTCAAAGTGCCTGCTTTGCCTCCGCTTGTCCACGTTCCAGGTGCTGCCTGACAAACACAAGACCCATGAACGGGACAAGAAGCCACCACCTACCACCGTGATGCCAATGCAACAGGGGAGGATGGCTGCTGCAGCAGCACCGGGAGCACGGGGAGCTCCGGGGAGACCTCCGGGTCCAGCCCAGGGCGATCCCTGTTACGGGGAAACCACTGTCCTAGTGTGGCCACCATCAATTTGCTTAACGAGGGCCAGGAGAGCTCACAAATTAAGAGTACTTTTGACTTGACAGTCTCAGGGATCTATCCTATACCTTTCCATGTTCTGTTCTGCCGAGGAGCTTGCTTTCGTGTCCCCTCGCCTAGGAGGGAAGAGGAGCAGTCGCTGCATGAGGACTTCAGGGAAAAGTGTTCCTTCAACATTACGACTGACATTTATTTTGAGACAAGGCCTCTGAGGCTCTCCTGGAGCATTTGCTACTGATGCAGAGTAGACTGAATGCCTCCTGCTAAACCACTTACAAACTTACGACAGATTTACTATTAAAGTAATGGTGCAACCTGAACCTAGTCACTCATGAGAGCTAAGAGCATCAGTAGATATAGCTACAAGCCACAGCATGAATTCCTCCACAGATGATGAAAAACCACCAAAAATGCAGTATATATGATACACTTTTAATTACAGAGCCTGGATTTAAAAAAAAAAATGTTATTTTTTAATCAAAATGTGCAAAACCTATGAAAGTATGACTAGTACGCATCTTTTCATAGATTAAAAGTTGATACAAAAATAATTGCTGGGATGCAGACATCAGGGAATTCTGGCTTGTGGAAGAGTGCAACTTCATTAGCGAGGTTAGTATTGCTCCACTTCCTCATGCACAGCACGCCTGCTCCCTTCTGCTGCACTCTCTCCTATAGTTTCTTGGAACCATTTTATGAAGAAATGAACCATAAGCATCAAGAATATTTTGGGAGCAAGTCCCACTCTGCGGAGAATGGCAGCCAAATCAGCAGTGAGTGCTTGCGGCATCTGCGTCTCACCTCTGCTGTTGCTTACATGGGAGTAGAGTCTACTACTCACCACTGGAATTAGGAGGTACTTTGGGGATGCTCTGCTGTCATTCTAGGATAAAATACGAAATGCTATAGACAAAAAGCATAAATGGAAAGCTCTAATCTTTGTAAAGAAAGAAAAAAACCTCCTCTACTACTTGAAACAGGCTCTTACTATGATTGTTTGCAGGAAACTATCTGAGCATGGTCTTGGCTGAGAGCATGAATGCTACCGGTTTCCTCATTAGTACAACCAACATTTTTACAGCTGAATTAAAATGGAATGAAAAAAAAAACAAAACTGAGAGCATGACTGTTGATAAGAACGAAGGACAGACCAAAATGCTATGGAGGACAAACAAAAAACAATGTTAATTTTTTTTTTTAAAGTTTCATATAATTCCTTGTAAAGAAAGAAATCAGGAAATAATATTAGGACCATTAAAACAGTAACAGAATAAAAATATTTGAATATAGCTGGAGAGAAGATTATTTGTCTAGCACTTTAAAAATCATCAAACTGCTCTAGTTATATCTGCATGGTTAATTTCTTTAAATTATATTAGGAAAAAATCAGTGCCTCTAACAGCCGTATTGACATGGCAAAATATACTGCAGACCAACCACTTAATTCACTAAGCAATGCCTGCAACAGAAGAAGTTTCATATTTCCAGTGTTTCTCAGGGTTGGTCATAACTTTACAGAGCGGAGTTTAACAGAAAAAGATTAACCATGAAGTGATAAACAGGATGCAGACTATTTACTAGAAGGTATGAAATCCATCATTTCCCTCTGGAATATTGTTTTGGCACAACTGAGGAGTGCCTCAGGACAGAGAGTCTTGTCAAAACTTACTTGCCCAGACAGTACAGCTTGTATTCCAAAATACATAACTTATGTGAGTTTAAGCAATTTACAAGAGCAAAAGTGAAAAGGGGAAACATACTGTTCTCCCGGACAAGGCAGAATTCCAAAGTGCTCTGGCTCTCCAAGGTACAGTCTAAATCTACTGGGACATTAGGTTCACTCTGCTTCTCCAGCCGATACTGAGGACCTGAAACATAAAGTAACTTGTAAAATCATCTGTTTGCTAACAAAGTGATGGCTTAGCACGTTCAACTAACATGAGATTACTCGTAGCCTAGAGGTAAGGCAGGTAGATGTTTATGGTTCAAAGCTCTTTGCCAAAGGGAAGGGCCCTATCATAAAAAAGTGGGGGACAGTGTGCAAGGAAACAACATATTCCAGTCATCTTCAGCTGCCTAAGAGCGCTGCTTGACAAACTTCTGTCCAACATTTCTGGATTATTCCTACACCAGATCAGCCTGTGTTAAATACCCTGCCCATGCCGCAAGACAGGGGTATTGCCTGTTGTAAGAAATACCTACTCAGACCTTGCTGTATAGCCACGTTGTATTACCTGGGCATCTTCCCTGATGTGAAAAAGTACAACGTGTTTGCTCCCCCCTCTCTGTGGCTCTTTCCAGACTGAAGACAGGCTGCTGTGAACGCAACCCTGGCTGCTGTTTGCCGGTGGACGGACCCGCTCCCGCGCTGCCCGGGCCTGCGGCACACCGCGGTCCAGCCCCATGAGCCACAGCTGGCCCAGACAGGCGCTACCCTGCGTGCCCGAGGGCATTACTCTGCCAGTTTGCGGTTGAATCCTGCCTTGTGAGTGCAGGCTCAACCAAATGTACGCTCGCACCCTCCGCGGGCGTGGAAAGCCAAGAGCACAGGCTGCGCAGGGACGGCTGGCGCGGGCCCGGTGCGCAGGGCCGGCTGCCGCGGCCTCGGCCGTGTCTGCACAGAGCACTGAGAAACGCCCGGGAAGGAAAGCAGCCCTTCTTTTACGAATGGCATTTTACCGTGAAAACCAGCTCCACGACACCCAATTTCGCTGTTTCTACCTCTACCAATGATGCACTTCTCAAAAGGCTGCACTTCTGGAGGGGGGTAAGGATTTTTTTTACACCTCAGCAGCGATCGGCACTGCTTTCCAGGTTGACTCCAGACAACGTGGTGGGTGGAGTTCGGCATCACCCAGCAGCGCAACGGCTGCAAGGAGCAGAAAGGGTCATTGAGGGATGGGTTTTATCTTTTTCCAGAGATCTGGACAGTGTTAGCATTGAGCTGCATCAAACATAAGCACGTACAGATGCTGTTGCTTCAAATGAATTACTTTCACATACATTGCATTTAACTGTAGATCTTCAAGTGCCAATTTCCTTCTCAAATCAAGTCACCAAAGGAAAGATGATACTACTTAAAAAACTGTTTTCTAACTACAGAAAATGTATTAAAAATTGTTTTTACAAAAATTCAGCCACTTAGAAAAAAAAGTCTTTTAGTTGAATGGATCCTTAAACTACACACCTTAACTGGAATCAAAAAAGAACACACTCATACAATTCCAGGTGAAACCCCTGTAAGTCAGCTCCAGGCCTGCTGTCCGAACAGCGGATGGGAGAGGACCTGACAGGGTGACCGGGGTGACTCGGGTAAGCCAGCTTCATGTGGGACCCCGGGCAGAAGAAAAGGCAAAGGTGGGAGCCGGTGGAGGCAGAGGCGCTCCCGTCCTTGCCGGCCCCCCCAGGATCTCCGCTCCTGCTCACACCCGAGAGCTGACGGGCACACAAAGTTCTCAGCTGTATAATTTCTGTATAATTCGGTAAAGCAATGCTAAGCAGATACCTGAAAAAAATTTAAGTGATGCAAAGCACCTTTAACCAGGTCGTAATGTAACAAAAAAACTACAACTGAAATAACGAAATCGATTCCCTCTTTATCAGTACTTCAAATATTTCTGAATGTTTCCTGACTTTGAATTATGATAGTATATGATGAAATATTTAAAACATATAAAAAAATTAAGTATTTTAGCCTCAGATGGCATGCCTAAGAAATGGAATTTGTTAGCCAATTAATTCTAAATTTACTACAGCAGAATTTCAATTACGGCTTCTCATTTCATCTCCCCAGAAGTCATGTGAAGCGCTGGCCGCCCAGCCCAAGCGCGTTCTGCTCCCGAAGTGGAACATTATTTCTCCGTAAAATGGAGCCCCCTTACTGCCGGTGACTCTCAGAGCAGAGACAGAGCCAGGCTATTTACAAGGCACGGGAGGAAAGCACAACTGCTCCCTCCCCACCCAGCACAATCAGCAACCGCACGTGGAGCTGGGCGAAGCATTTACCGAACAAACCGCACTCAAGGAACAGCACAAACAACAGAAAGGCAAATATATTCAGCACCATCGTTTCTCTTCTCCCAGCTACTGGAAATGTGATTAAAAATCTAAAATAAATTAAATAAACAGAGGCCTGGCTTGTTAGGCAGAAACAAAATACACTGAATTGAAACAAATATCAAAGTGGTAAATCAATTTGTGTTTAGAAACTGGTGGAGGTTTAAAAACAGATTCAGTGAGAGCAAAACCCACTTGCTTTGTCTGTTTGTAAGAGGTACCTTCCAGAGGTTCCCAAACTACGTCCAAATGCTGAATGATACCCAGCAATGACAAAGCTAGGAGAACTGTTGGTTCCCATCTGAATGTCTGTGCTCTGGGTACCTGGTACCAAACCCCTAACTCCAAGTGCTCCCACCACAGGTGGAGCCTCCTGCCTCCACCAGAGCCTCAGCCCACCATCACCGGGACCAGGAATTGCTGATGCCAGTGCCCATCACTTTGTCCCAGCTCCCTGGTTCTTCGTTACGGCCTCTCTCCCACTCCCACCCCAAAAGCATTTAAAATCAGAGCAGAGGAAGAAGTGAAATCAGCCCCTTTTGGAACTATGAGCGGTTGGGCAGGCCGCCCTGAGCGCGGTGCGGTGACAGCCCCTGCTCCGCTCCCAGCCCCAGCCTCCCTGGTGCCTTCATGGGTGCCCTCTCAGGTCGACGCACCCAGAACACACATGTGATCCATTCCATAAAACACACTTTTAAGTATTATACCTTCACCTATCCCACTAAATCATTTCTATTTACCCAATTTTCTTTCATTCATGCAATGCTGTGCGAGAGCTGCTGCAGGGGACTGGCACCGAACCAGACGCTGCGCTCTCCAGCACAGAGATGGACGCATCCCTGTGCTTCTGAGACACTGGGATGGGGCGAAAGGACAGGCATCAATGCTACCCAAGCCTTAAAATTACCAGGGAATCATACGCACACAACGACAAGGGGACAAGGTTACAAGCAAGAGCTTGACAGTGGTTTACCATCCCTCTGTGTGGATCTGATCCCATCAGCTGGATCCACTCAGAACAACATCATCACCCATCTCGGAAACAATCCTCAGGCTGTTGAACAAGCTTCCCATCATCCTGCGGAGAGCCATCGGTGATCATATCCCTCCACACTACCACGCCAATGTCAAAAGATGATTTTTATCTGGAGCAACTTGAGAATTCTATAATCAGGTAAATTGTTTTATCCAGTTTGTGTCAAGACTGTGTTAACCATCTGCTAATAAAGCAATGAAACAGAGCTACAGATCAGAAACCAAGGCAACCTTCCATACGAATAACTCCTTTAAATCAGAAAATACTAAGAAGTTTATAAAAAAAGTGTAAATTAATTTTTAGAGAGTATCTACCCTTAAATAACATATTTTAAATATCTGTACACATTTGCATGACCTCTACTTCACAACAGACAAAAAAAATGTTAGGCTGACTCTGTGGAGGGGTTTTACCACCAGACTTCTCTCCCAAGCTCAAATGATGTCATTGTAGTAGAAATATTAGGTAATTTAATGGTCTCCTAACAGAATACTGCTCTGGGAATTTCAACAAAATTTCAAGTGGTAATACCAAAGCTGGATTTTATGGTTTTCTGTAATCTGATGCAAATGCTCTGCGCAGTTGTGAAATAAACCTTCAAAATCCTGGCACAGACGGTCCTGGCCCGTGACCCAAGCCAAGCTCTCCCGCTGACGGCAGGGACCGCAGCTCAAGCACGTCCCGCATCCAGCAGCATCGGGCTGGGGCCGCAGCCCAGGGCTCTCACACAGCCCTGCTCGCTGGAGCCAGCATGTCTGTTATGTTCCCCCATCAAGGTGGGAGCAAGCACGTTAAAATGGAAATCACCAAGGCAAAATACCCAGAAGGTAAAGCTAATGAATATGAACTCCCCTTCTCGTTCTGTAATTTCGTCACATATACTTGGAGAGAGAGAAACTGTTGCTGGGTTAAAGCAAGCAGGGCTGGAGAAACAAGTGCTGGTGGGTCTGGAGAGGAAGGAGGGGACAAGTCAGTGGTCTGAAATGAGCCACAAAACGGTGAAAGAAGTGGCTATACCTTCAAGCAAACTCTTTTTGTTCAAAAACTAGCAGGGATTTGTTTGGGGCCCCCCAGGCCGCCCAAGCCCCGAGGAAGGGCCTGTGAGCCAGGGCCCCTTCTCCACCAGATCTGGTGGCCTGAGGCATTAGGTCTTCTCCATTCTTGGGCCACACTACTGGTAAAGCATCCCGCATCCAGAAGCGAGTGCCTAAACCACATGCTGCAAATACTACCAGCAACAGCGATTTTTCTCTCCTACCCTTGTTCGGGCGCACTGGCAGACCAGCAGCTGTGGAGGAACCGGGCTGACTTCGACAGACACTCCACAACACATATCCCTTCCACTAAAATCCCCGTTTAACCATCCACACCATGGTTTCTGCCTACACATATACATCGTACTTACTTCAAGATACTCCTTTAAAGAGAGGAAGGTTTATCAGGAATTAAAAACAAACAAGGAACCAGCCCCCAATACTACATCCACAGGGTTCCTGTGGCACAACACAAAGGTGCCGCAGGAAGAATCCCACCGCATAACCAAATTAAGCAGCGCTCTTACAAAAGGTGAGTGGCCATCCACATAACAACAAACCAATTCTGTTGCCATTTAAGCTGCAAAGCCTTCAGAATGGGGTTTTGAAAGCATGACCCATCAGTTCTAATTTTTAAAACTTATCCTTTCAGTCAAGACTAGAAAAAGGCCCATTCCAACTTTTATCTTCACTACAAAGTGCTGTTATCTTGGGCTGATGTCAGGAGCTCTATCTCTCTTTC